CAATCGAGGCAGCCAAAGAGCAACATCAAGAGAAAATATGAAGAAATACATCTAGCAGCCAACCGAGGGAGAGCGGGGTTTACACGCCGACGCTGATGTATGCAGCCCGTTTAGAGCCAAGACATCTACAGAGACGTCAACCCACCGGGAAGGTGGTAACCTGCCGAGGAGTCCCCGGGGGCTGCGGAGGCGTTTCGTGGCATCTGCCATCGGCGGGGACGTGGGCACAACCTGAGAAATAAGTCTTCGCTGTGTTTTAGAGCAGCGGTTGGAAATCGCGCCTGCCGGGCCTTATTCCAGCACAGGTAATGCCGGCAGCTCTTCCCGAGGCTGGGCTGGAGATTTATCCGTGGAGTGTGATCATTTGCGGTGGCGCAGGGGTCTGAGGATAAGCTGCCGGGACGCCGTGGTGCTTAGTCGTGGATTTGCTCCTCCTGAAGAGCTGTTCTGGACCTGATGATCCCCGTGGAGGCTTAATTAGGTGTCAACTTACAGCCTAATGACTGATCAGGTTATAGCACAAAAGTGTCTTTCTGCCTTGGTGGAGAATTATCTATAAATCTTAGGTGCCTGTTAGAGAAGATGTACGTCTCCCTGCCTGGGCTTAGCAGAGAGCCACCGAGTGCACCGCGGCGAGGGAGGTGGCGGCAGATGAAACCTCATGACAGTTTTATAGAGAAGGGAAGAGGAGAAATCAGTTCCTCGCTGCTGAAGGATCCCACCCGGGTGCACTCGCAGAGCCGGGTCCTGCTGGGTGGTGTAGCGGGGTGGGGGTGGGTGAGGACACGGGTGGCCAGCTCAGGAGGGGAGCCTGTCTGCAGTGGGGTGGGACGCACGGGTCTCCCGTGGCGGGACAGGGATGGGACGGAGAAGCCTGTTCTCTGGGCAGGTGTCGGTCTCAGCCTCACTCCATCCCCGCTGACACCTGTGAGAACATTACTGTCATCATCCCAGTTTCCAGCGGCTTCTCCACCAGCTGATTCCACATTCTCCTCTGGTGCTTCTCCTCCAGCTGATTCCACGTTCTCCTCTGGCATCTGCATAACCTCCATGAACCTCTGCGGAGTGAGAGCCGCTCATCCCAAGAGCTGTGCTTATGCTGGTACCTCCAAAAGCAGAGTTCACCATTACTCATCTTGAGTCTCTCCTTGCCCCTGCTTCTGCCTGCACCACCTCATTAAACACCCAGGTTTTTCTCTTCTGGGCTCGAGGTGCCAGTCTCCATTGGCTCTTCCCAGGGACTGAGCAGGAGCGCTGGCTCCAGCCTGCTGGGAGCACGTGCCTGAGGCTCGAGGGCTTACCCGGACTTCCAAATTTATTAGTGAAATTATTTGTATTGGGCGGATGTCAGAAACACTCAGGGATTAGGTTACATCCCAGGAATTACCCATTCTTTTGGTTTTTCCTCTTTCTTTTGGTTTTTCCTTTTGTTCTTTTGTTGTTGCCTCTTGCAGGGTCAGGATTTATACACAGGTGCTGTCCCTACTCCGCAGCAGGAGCTGCTTCCTCGTGGTCCACGCAATCCGCATGGGCTGCTGTGACGCCACGCGGGTCGTCTCACTGGTCTGCGATATGCCGAGGTGGGAACCTGAGAGTGTGCCCTGTTCCGTGTCTCAAACCTCAGTGCAGGCACCCGCCGAGCTCTGGCCGTTGCAGCTGGGGTTGCTGTAACCGGAATTTACAGCTCGTGAAGCGTCCTGTGAGTGCCAGAACGGGAACGGGTTACTAACGATGTTTTATGGGGTACGGTGGGGTGTGCGGGGTCCCCTCGCTCTCTGGCACAGGCTCCTCTCTCGGGTTTTTGTGCTAAACTCCTCATCTTGTGCAAATCCCCGCTGCTCTGAGCGATGTTCTGCAGAAAATGGCAGTGGAAGCTAAAAAAAGAAAAAAAAAAAGCCGAAGCCATCAAAGGCATCGGGGGGTGAGTGATGATCGGCAGCGTTACACCCCCAGCCTGAACCTGGGAATGAGAAAATCAAAGCGGGAGGTTGGGAAGTGTCAGCCCGGAGGCAGAAACGAATCACTCCCCGCTAACAAGTGTGATATTAAAGCCGGTGATTTTCTGCATGGTTGTGTCTACAAATACGTGGAGAAACTATAACTTAAAGGCAACAAAGCGCGTCGGCTCCTGCTCCAGCGCCGGCTGGGACTGCTGCAGCGGCTCTGCGGTGCCGGGGGGGTGTTGCCCCTGAGCTGGGGTGCCTGGCTTTTGTCAGTAATACCCTGACGGAACCCCAGAATTTCTGGGGGGCTGGCCCTCCGTCCCACAGATTCCCTCCGGGTGACAGGATGGAGACATTCTGGATGCCAAAACATTTAGGTTTTTCCAATTTGTTTTCAAAATTAATTAATTAAAAGTGGTCTTAAATGGGATGATGTAACAAGAAGGGGAAGAATGAAGGTGGCATCAGTGCTGGGTGTACCGGCACAGCATCGGTGGGGTAGGTGTCTCGGTCTATGACTGGTGTAGGCAGATTGACCTGGCTGTTCTGCCGGCTCCGCTTCCCCAGCTCTTTTCTCGTCCTGCAGGTGACAGGGCTCTGTCCCCCGGTGATATCGCTGGCGCTCTCGCCGGGCTCTTCGTGACCATCTCAGTCCAAATGACCATTGTGGGGAGAAGGTGAGTGGGAGCTGGTGTCCCTGGGGAGTGCTGCTGGGCCTGGGTGGGCTCGCTAATTCCCGGGGCTGGGGTGGGCTCGC